CGCTCTTCCCCAGGACATCCGCAATAGCGATAGTTTTCTCACTTTTAAATCTCGTCTTAAAAATCATTTATTTAAACAGGCTTACTTTTGATTGCATATGTGGATCAATGTTTATGAATGTTTCAATTTATTTTATTGTTTCTTGTTTTGTATGGATTTTGGGTTGTATGTTTTTTTTTTTGATTACTTGTAAGGTGACCTTGAGTGCCATGAAAGGCGCCTATAAATAAAATGAATCATTATTATTATTATTATTATCTCACGCACACGTGTGACTCTTCCTGATGCACACAGATCTGAGGTTTGCACTGAAATCTCTCAATGACTGAAACACAGGCTTGGGTATCGTTTGAATTTTATCAATCCCAATTATGATTCCTCTTATCGATTCCCAGTTTCAATTCCAATGTGGTTAAAAAAATTAAGTCAAACATTTATTTTGTGTGTCTTTTTGGAAAATATTTAATTGCTGCTGAATACCATGAACAAAAATCAGCCGGCTGCATAAAAACTGGACTCGATTAAGAGCTGTTTGTGTGCAAAAATAGAGCCGCACGATTCTGGATAAATTGACACTTTTTTTTTTTTAATGGAGGTTGTAGTTCTCTCACAATTCTGAAGAAAAAATATTAGACACTAAACAAAATCTGATGGAATTTCTGAATGGAATGATTCAATGACTCACTCAAGATTTACTTGATTCATTACTGGATGATACAGTGTTTTTGAACGAATGATTCAAAGACAAATACATTTTTAACAGCCCCTTTTCAAGAACTAAAAAAAAAGATGCACACACAGGAATTGATGGGTGGAATTGAAATCTTAATTTTACAACAAGTATCCGATTCTGGAATTGGATTTGTTTTTCGATTCCCAACCCTACTGAAGCACCAGCAGGACAACTGCTCCATGTCTTCATTATGTGAGAAGGATTTCATCATATTACTTACAGTTTAATTCATGGACGTGTATTTTGGTGACATCAGATCAGGATTAGACTTCAGATGAGGGGTGACATTGCATTACCCAACCAACACGCCACTGAAAGCCATCACAAAACAGGGCTCCAGACTAACACTTGAGGGCAGTGGCACTAAGTTCTACAGATAGTGGAGCCAGGAGCAGATTTGGTAGCACTGGGGGTTTTAAAAATAAAGATCATTTAATCAAAAAATTACAATTGATTTGAATTAATAAGAGCAGTTACTCATAATATTATTATTTCTTGGTTAAGACACATTTGACAGTAAAGCACTGAGCTTGAGTTGATGTATACAAAATGTGCTTTTTAACAACAGTAACGTGCAAAATTTTTATATAGAAAATTAATAGGCTATTCTACTTGCATTAAATATACCATTATTCTGATATGTAACTGACCAATAACTTCAGTGATATTAAAAGGAACACTATGTGTGATTGTTGCAAATTGAAGGAAAGTTAGTTGCTTGAATTTCTCTTTTAAAAAGGCTGTACAAACCCTGAAATGAATAAAGTAATAACATTCGACTATTACTGCTACAACACCATGGTTATAGTTAGCGCTACTGCTTCTGGTTTTCTACGTCAGCACCGTTTGATCGGTTTATATCAGAGATTTCTGTGCAGAATTTGAATGCATCTCACTAGATCTTGCAGCAATCTTTATTCAAGATCTAGTTAGAGTTATGTTTCATTTGCCGTTTTATGTTTCTCATATGCAGCGCTTATGAGTCGGACAACACGGTGGTCGCGCCAGTGTGACCGCTCACAAAATTTAGTCGCACCGGCAGAAAAAATGGTCGCAAAATGTGACCATTTGGACACAGTCTGGAGCCCTGCAAAAGCAGCCCAGTCATTTAGTTCTTGAGTTGCTAAGATCAATCACAGCCTCTTCTGGGGACTCGGGTTCTTGTGATCATCTGTAGCTCATGGAGCAGAACATCTAAATCCAGTAAGACTCTGACAGATCGACAGTATTATACCGAGCGTCTCACACGCTTTCCATCCCAATCTCACACACAGTGACTGAATCATAAGCAGCGCTAGTGAAGTGAGACTGGTGTATTATCAACTGCGCTTCATTAATCAATAATTTAAGCATTCTTATTAAAACAAATGCTGTGTGTCAAATGATTAAAAGTGAGTGTTCATTCAGTCTAAGGGGCCGTTTACACGACACCGGTTTTAACTAAAAATGCAAAACTTTTAAAGCGTTTTGACCGTGCATTCACATGACAACAGTGTTTTAGGGGCTTGAAAACACAAGCTTTTGAAAATGATACCATTATTGTTTGTGCAAACAGTGATGTCATGCATGTGTCTATGCACCAGTAGATGTGCAGTGTTTCTTTACAAAGTGACGTCGCCAACTACTGACCTGGCATGAATAATACAGCATTTATAGCCGTTTTCATGCATCATCTTAATACGATTGTTGTTGTATAAATGACACAATGAGTGAATTCATTCATATATTTACATACAAATAAAAGCAACATAATTTGGGACAAAGAAATAAAAGTATTTTTAAGAACATTAGGATTATATAAATGTGTCTGGATGTTTGACTTCTCGTAAAGACGCTCATTACTGTAATTCAGTATTTTTATTGTAATATACAATGTTTTTTAATTAGAAATAAAGTCTGCACAACAAATTACTTCTATGATGAATAAATAATTGCCATTTACAGTAATGATGTGAATATATGAAGGGAAACGGTCATGAAAATAATGTCCCAATGCAGAAACTCTTTCTTAAAACAGGCTTCAGTATTTTATGTCAAATATAATTGGTTAGTTTGACAGATAAACATGAGAGATGAACCCATGAACCCATATTAGACTCTAAACAGCCACAGATGTTAATATTAGTGTTATGAGCAGTGCAGTAAACTGATATGCTGACAGACAGCAGAGATGGTGAATTACACCGACCGACCCGATCACTGAACAGTTCTCAACTGAAGAACAGCAGTCTGTCTGTCATACGTGACCCTGGAGCACAAAACCAGTCATAAGGGTCAATTTTTTGACATTGAGACATAAGCTCTCCATTTATGTACGGTTTGTTAGGATCGGACAATATTTGGCCGAGATACAACTATTTGGAAATCTGGAATCTGAGGGTGCAAAAAAATCTAAATATTGAGAAAATCATCTTTAAAGTTGTTCAAATTAAGTTCTTAGCAATATATATTACTAATCAGAAATTAAGTTTTGATATATTTACGGTAGAACACTTACAAAATATCTTCATGGAACATGATCTTTACTTAATATCCTAATGATTTTTGGCATCAAAGAAAAATGTATAATTTTGACTCATACAATGTATTGTTGGCTATTGCTACAAATATACCCCAGCGACTTAACACTGCTTTTGTGCTCCAGGGACAGGAATGTGACCCACACATGACTGTCAGACAGCAGATGAACTCACACAATCAACGCAAATCCATTCATTTGAATTTAATAATAGACTAAACTAATTACCAGAAATCTACAAACCAACTTCAGTGTCTAATAAACAGCAGTACATCTCACATACAGGCCTGCTTCACGTTCTCCATCAGCCAGATTCATGCTAATCAATGAAAAATCATTTATTAGAACAAATCTGCGCAGTGACCAAGAGAAAAATGCCACAATTTACCTTTACAAGACGAGCCCTCCTCACACGAGACTGAGGTGAAAACCACAAATCACAAAGTATGAAGAGTGACTGATCAGTGAATATTATTGTCAAATCACGCACACACACACTCACACACACACACACACACACACACACACACACACTCGGTCAGCTGAACCCGAAGCAGTAAAATGTCAACACACGAGACAAAGAGCTACGGAGGAACACGCCTCAGCGGTGAAATGATTGATGAGATTGGATCACTCACTTCCCGATCACCTCGCAGAGCTCGTACACATCCTCGAACAGCACGTCGTCGTCAGCCATAGCGTTACCGTTTCTCCCGCCGACAGATTCGCTTTCCCTCAGAAACGCGCCGCGAACGTCAGAATCCGAGCGGCGACACCGGGATCCTGTAAATCCCCCGGATTCCCGTCGACGACCACCGAAGCTGTCCGTTCACACCGAGCGACGATGATGATGATGATGTCAGGGAAAATCAACGCTCCGGGATTCAGGTCGCAACGCTCCGGGAAAATGCCGCTTCAATTAATAAATGTCAATGTGACGCGAGCAACCGAGAAAAAAAAACGCGCTGGTGCGCCCAAAAGCTAGAGATCCCGCCGATCCGCCTCAAACATAAAAAACGCGCTCAACGCCGCCGCCGCTCCGGTTCCCGTCCGACCGCGCTCATAATTGTCCGTTAGACGCGCCGGTACACGCCCTGATCTCCCGTTAGAGCGGTGAGGTAAAGCAGCGATGCCGTGTAACGGTTTTCTGCAGCTCTCCGTTGCCTCGGCGTCTCTCCTCCTGCTCCGCTGCTCCTCCAGTACAGCGCGCTGACGCTCCGCCTTCTCAAGGTTATGAAGCTGCCGCACGCCGAGCCGCAATGGCCGCCGAGGTGCGCGCGATTCCCCGGATGTTTCCGCTGACGCTCATCGGACCGCTTGAGCCAAGATGTCGGCGGAAGGGCGCGCCTTCGAGCCCACGGCGCTCAGTTCCTAATCTGCCCAGAGAAAACCCGTTCTCCCGTCCAGCGGCCAATGGCAGACCGGCGTCGCTGCGCGTGCTGGTTGACCGTGCGATGACGTCAGAGCTTCTGCGATTTTTTTCCTCAGGATCCGTGAATTTTCTTATTGAATAAATGCTGCAGGAAGGCAATAGATTGAACATCGAAGATTCTCGTTGAATAAGAGTGGGCTCGCAGACTTAGCATCATTTTATGATCCTGATTTATCACATCCATCACTGAGCCACATATTCATATCAAGCGCAGAAATATTGTACAGTTCATAGATGCAATAAAAACCGATAGGGTTTGCTAATTCAAGCAGCTTTACGTGTGTGTGTGTGTGTGTGACCCTGGAGCACAACACCAGTCATAAGGGTCAATTTACTGAAATTGAGATGCATGCATCATCTGAAAGCTGAATAGATAATCTTTCCATTGATGTATGGTTTGTTAGGATAGCACAATATTTGGCTGAGATACAACTATTTGAAAATCTGGAATCTGAGGGAGCAAAAAAATCTAAATCAGAATCAGAATGAGCTTTATTGCCAGGTATGTTTACACATACGAGGAATTTGTTTTCGTGACAGAAGCTTCCACAGATTCACAAAAAGGAGCTGCTAGTTTTTCAAAGGCTTAAAATACACGTTTTGTCTTGTGCTCTTTAACTGTACACGTTCATGTTAATAATCTCACTCTCACGTGACTCTCGCAGCTAATGAGCGGCTGAGCAGAATTTAAAACCCATGAAATCACACTTGTATTTTGTGACTTTATGTCTGATGGCTCTGAGATCATCTGCATCATAACAGTCGGTTTCTTCATCCTGGAGATCTGCTCCTCATCACAGCTGAGGTTTGGAGGAATGACGATCACCAGCCATGGGTTGGTTAATGTTGTTGATCATAAACAGCTGGACTGAAGTTCAGCATCTTCTGGAACACACCCTCTCTCGCGCATACACACACTCACTCACACACACTCTCTCTCACACACACACACAAAAAGTAATCTGTTACATTACTGTAATAAAGTATTTGAAATAGTTACACTACTTGTTACATTTTAAATAGGGTAACTTGTAATCTGTAACCTGATACATTTACAAAGTAACCTTCCCAGCACTGCATAAGAAGTAGTTTTTCTTGTAGCCTAGTTTCCTAGTTGGTTAAATGCAAACTATTGTGTGAAATCAGCAGCGGTTGCCTTCATTCTGACACATCTGGGACAGTCGAGTGCTGGAGTACTGCTTCTCAAACACAACACTCTTCAGTTCCACGAGTCCGTTTGTCTCCCATATTTCACATCAATCAGCCTAAATAATCTGAAGATAATGAATGAATCTCGTTTGCTCGTACAGTCAGAATATGTATTTGGAGCAGCTGGATATTGAGTTTATTGTTTATTCTGTGCATCACGTCTGATGACTGAAGGTGCGCAGTCACATGACGTCTGAAATCAACCAATCACAGTGCTGATTACTGAACAGGTTTTATCATTAAACTCTTCTTTTCGAACTGTAAATGAATTTGTTTATTTGACCAGACTTTGCGATTTTGTCAGTATAACCACATTTTCATTTGTACAATTGTTTTTATATAAAGAATGGTTTCATCTGTCGATGTTTGCATCCGTTTTAAACCAAATATGACCCAAGAAATATTTGACGTTTTCTAAGACTGAATTTTAGGACTGTTTTTAAGGACAGGATTCAGTCCGTCAGTGACGGAGAGGAAACGCATCATCATTCAGCAGGAAGTCAAGAATGAAAAGAGACACAAAAATTCATTTTGAGAAACAGCAGGTGCAATTCTCTACATTTTCAGAATATTTAATTGTGGATTTACTCCAGTGTCAATGAAACATCCGATAACACAAACTGAAGCAGTTCTTACATTCACAAAAGTTTATCCCAAAACAACAACAAAAACATTTACACCACACTGTTTTTTCTCTTTATGGATAAAGTTCTATGCAGTCAAATACATAAAAACGATCAAACCGAGCGATTAAACGCCTGAAAGAACAACATGACGCTTCATGGCAAGCTTATATCACTATTCGTTTACTGCAATGAAAATAATATAATAATATTAATAATCAGGAGGAATATTGACAACCGATAATCTCATATGCACATTTCTAAAAATACATTTCTATATAAAGTGCAGGGAAATTATCTGAATGGGATCTGCGTCCATGTCTGTAATATATTGCTTGATCAAACTAATTACGCACAAAAACACGCAAACTGTACAAACTGATTTCCCAACCGCCTGCCATTAAAACCGTAAAACACGAGCTGACGGCATCTTCAGCGTCGGGCAGAAAATGGTGAAATCTGGAAATGTCAACAGACTTCTTTCTGAAAGACCGGACGACTGACGAAACCGTGACTGAGAAATCCACTATTACCCCAGTCAAACCAACCCGCTGCATGATAAATCACGTTTTAATCATGATCACAATTTCTGCTTCTCTTGATATATTAAGCATAATGGTGCAATATTTGGTTATTTATCCTGAAAATGCTTTCTTCTAATTAGGCATATGTGTGCAGTGGTTGACCGATATATCGGCCGATATGTTTGAGACTTTTATTTTGACGGCGCTGAGAACGGCACACAGCGCTCACATTCTCCCTCTTCATCGTTTGCTGTCGTCGTTTAACAGTTCTGTCTAATACAGATAGAAGTCTGTCTAATAATCAGATAGCATGTTGAACAAAGGAATTAAAAGGTGCACTAAAAGTACTATAATGATTGCTTTTATATTATTAGTAATAGAAAGGCAAACATTATAATTATGGATGTAACGATTAACCGCGAGCCGATTGAAAATCGATTCAAATATGTGACGATTCAAATCTGTTGAGATGCTAAACAAATCGCGATTCATTTAGGGGTAGGAGTTTATATGAATGCATGTCTGAGGGGAACTTACTGTCTTTAGAAAAGTTTAGATGGTATTTTTTCTGTTCATCTTGCCTCTGTATAACGCATATTAAAGTTCATATTAAAGTGCTTTGTTTACAGCGGTAACGAAGGAAACATTGTATCATTGCTGTTCATAAGCGCAGCGCTGCTTTGTTTACAGCGGTAACCAAGGAAACACTGTATCATTGCTGTTCATAAGCGCAAATATATACATGTAAATATTTTCCAAATATATACTGTATGTGTGTGTGTTTTTATATATACATACAAATACAGTGCGCACACACATATTAAAAATATCACAAAAATGATATATACTGCCTTTATATCAGTCACCCTGCTCTCTTAAGATATCAGCTGTCAGAAAACCAGTATCAGACGACCGCTAGTAATGAGCGTCACAAGCGTTCATTATCAAGCAATCGCGTAAGCTGTAATTTAGTGATCTCCATTGAGCCGGTCTGTTGTTTGCTGCGACTGAATCAATGTTCTCTTGATTTGTGGTTATGTGAGAGTACTCTATAATAATATAACAATTACATTATTATAATCCTTCTGTTATACTATAAATAATAATATAATAATTCTGATGAAATAAAAAAAAGTTGACCGTAAAATAACAATAATTGTGATTATATTTTTGAGTCTGTTATCGTGCAGCCCTAGTTAGAATGAGTCACGAGCGCTTCTGAATTCATTTCCATCTGGAATGAACAAGAGCAAATATAAAAGAATCAAAACATGATCCGATCTGCCTCGAGCTGAAACCTCATTTGGTTAAACTGCTTGAAATCCAGGTCTGGCCTTCATCAGATGCCGATCCACGCGACACGAAACAAGAACAAACGAGAGAAAACCACACGTACATTTACACACAGTGCTGGCCACAATCATTAGAACACTAGTATTGTGACTTTGCTGTGTAGGAAAAATCCGTTTGCATTTCCAGTTGGCCATTAATTGTAATAATGCAGTGAGATATATGTTTGTGCTGCACACAGAGATGTGATCCTCATCAGTCTGTCTGGAGTCACATGAAGAAACAGAACAAACTGAGACAGACTCAATCCAGAAGAACTGATGCTTCTAGAAACCTCCTGCAAAGCTCCTGAGAAACTCTGCTCAAGTGCTGCTTTAAACACAAGGATGCTCACACCAAATGTTGATTTCATTCAGTTAATAGAAGTTAACTGATAAAGAAAATCTAGTTTTGACAGCATCCTCATTTTACAGCATTTTTACACAAGTGCCTCAAACTGTTAACAGCTCTGTAGCTTTGCAGGAGGTTTCTTGAAGCGTCAGTTCTTCTGGATTGAGTCTGTCTCAGTTTGTTCTGTTTCTTCATGTGACTCCAGACAGACTGATGATGATCAGATCAGAGCTCTGTGTGCTGCACAAACATCTCACTGCATTATTACAATTAATGGCCAAATTAATGTTTGGAAATGCAAACTGATATTTCCTACACCGCAAAAGATAGAAATAACTATCACAATACTAGTGTTCTAATGAGTTTGGCCAGCACACGTGTCTGTCACAGCGACTACAGAGTAGAAAACACGCGGCGAGTGTCTGAAGTGCATCTGTGAACGCTTCATTGCTTCTAATTCCAAATGTAGAAAAGCACAAAATGTGATTCTACCAGGTGGGCATCATGTCGGGGAACCAGACGCGGCCCAGGTGTTTGGACACCTCCCAGTGGATGTCGTCCGGCCCGTACTTGCTGTCAGGCACCAGAACCTCCTCCATGATGGACAGCTGCGTGAGCCGGCCGCCGCACATCTTGACGAACTCCACGAAGGCGCTGCAGGACACCTCACACTCGCCTAGGCCGATGGCCGACAGCTGTCTGCAGCGCTCTGCGATCCGGATCAGCTCCTCGTCCAGGGGTCTCAGGCCGTTAGCACACACCACCAGCTCCACCAGCCGAGGACAGGTCAGCCCCACGCGGCCCAGAACCTCTTTACTGACGGAGCGGCCGAAGTACAGGTGCGTGACGGGCACCTCGTCGCGGAAGAAGGGCCCGAACTCGTCCTCGTAC